AGTCTGGGAGGGGGGGGAGAGAGCGCCTGTGATTGGTCGACCGCATTGTCGCGGGCCAATCACGAGCGTCGAGTCTGGGGGGGGGCGGAGCGTAATGCGAAAGCGGCGGCCCGAGCGCTTAAAAACTCCTCCGCGTGTCACCATCCGCCGGCCCTTTTAAAATGTATTTATATTTTGTTTAAAATTTATATAAATATAATTTACACTATGGCTGATCAATCGATTAAGTGTGTCGTCGGTTGTGTGTGTTAATAAGGGTTTGTTTGAGATGTTAGCACTTGTTAAGTACAGTATTTAGAATTGATGAGCGGGCGGTTCATTGGGTTTCCCCTCAGATAAACTTTTTAAACATTAACAAAACAAATAATTGTTTACTTTCGCGATTTGGTTGTGGAAAGTTTTTCTAGGTGTCGTTTAAGAACTGAAAAGTTGTTTTAAAAGCAGCTCGAAATCGCACCGTCATGGGTTGCAGTTAAAGTTAAATGCCTCCAGAGGGCAATGTCATGGCCAGAACGCAATGGTAGTAAACTCTTAGGTTTTTTCGGTAAAGTCACGTAGGCAAAAATAAATAATGAATAATAAATTAAAAAAGCAATTCTAACATTTATATAAATAATAATAGTGTAAAGTATCCACAGCGAGTTTCGTAACATTTAATTAAAACGTTGTGTGTCTCGTAATTTGTGTGTTTGGTAATTTGCTTGAGGCCCATGGATACCCATAAGCACAATTCACATTGGTGAGCAGCATGAGTGCACAGCACTAAGGGGCCGCCCATAAATGACGTCACGCACCTAGGAGGGGGGGGGTCAGACATTTGTGACGATAATGTGGCGCTGCACTCTGATGTTGTAGGAGAAAACATTTATTAAAAAGTCTATTTAATTAAGTAGAACGTGTTGTCTATATTTATTTAAAGTTGCGCATTTTGATGTGACGTCACATTTCTCACCCCCCCCCCCCTCGTCACACATCGTCACAAATGTCTGACCCCCCGACCCCTAGGTGCGTGACGTCATTTATGGACGGCCCCTAAAGCAACACTTATACCCATGTGCCTGAAGCAGAGCGCATTTAATGGGTCTACGTTACCTGCGACGGGCACAATGATCGGACACGTGGACACTCACGAAGAAAATTGAATTTAAAAAAATGAAAAGTGCACACAACAGCGCATGCAGCTTCACCCCCTCCCCCCCCTGTCCTCCTACTGGCAGCAGTCGTTCGTGAACCCCGCAATGTGCTTTAGTCACCTCCGCACACATCGAGCTCGTTGGAGCTGGAACTTGAGACCAGGTTTTTACGTGGGCGCCGCATCTCAAAAGTCGAAGTTTCTTTCATATGTTCATAATCAACGTTTTTGGGTTAGATCGCGTTATTTATAAATGTGTCGTAACCCTCCACCACCCGACACGGCCAATCAGCAAAAAAAGTGTCACGTTGACAAAAGACAAATAGTTCACTGCTTTAGCCCACCGGTGTATTGAAGTGTGAAACCACAACATTTACAATTTTTTTTCACACTTCAACACACCGGTGGGCTAAAGCAGTGAACTATTTGTGTTTTGTCAACGTGACACTTTTTTTGCTGATTGGCCGTGTCGGGTGGTGGAGGGTTACGTCACATTTATAAATAACGCGATTTAAACCCAAAAACGTTGATTATGAATAATATTGGTCGCGAAAGCCTACGTGTTAACCTTCTTTCATATGGGTAATCTAAATTGTATTATGGTTGTTATTGTTTGACTTGCATCACACTGGGATTTTTGCACACAGCGTTTTTTTTCTGGAATATTTGCTGGTTTATCCAGGATGTTTCTGTTGCGCGTCGTCGCTTTAAGATGTTCTCCGTTGATATTTTGTTTGTTGCGGTTGCACCCGACTTAAGAGCCGCATGGCTCACAGGGCTATACCTAATCAATGAAACTTTCTCTTCATGGTGTTACTCGTCAAGAACCAAGGGTTGCACGGCCATGTCGATCCTGTAGAGCAGTGGTTCTTATTCACCTTTATTACTCAATTAGAAACAAATGTCTCATTCTGGATTTGAAGCTTTCGTGACTGCAGGAATCCATACTCTTTGGTTCTTTCGGTAAAGTCACGTAGGTATTAAATAAGGTATAAAATAAAATGTCTCATGTTATTAAATACACAGAGGGTTTGATGAAACAAAGTCGTTGTAACTTACCTGCCCGTGCTTAATTCGTGTTTTCAATTATTTACCTTCTTAAAAAATCTGCCCGTGTCTCGCACCCCCAGAAAGGGCATCTTGCACTCCCAGGTGAAGAAGAACCGCTGCTGTAGAGAGATACATTACAGTTTAACACGTAGGCTTTCGCGACCAATATTATTCATAATCAACGTTTGTGGGTTAGATCGCGTTATTTATAAATGTGTCGTAACCCTCCACCACTCGACACGGCCAATCTGGCGAATTGCCCGATGATGCTGGATGCAATTACCAGCGAAACGTCGTACTCAAAAATTGTAAATCTTGTGGTTTCACGCTTCAACACACCGGTGGGCTAAAGTAGTGAACTATTTGTCTTCTGTCAGATACATTACAGACACCAACGCGTAATGCAAACATTTAAAGAAGCTGTGAAAAAAAATCAAGAAGAGGTTGTATCCTTCATGGTATTAAAACGGGTGTCTTTTTTGGTGGAAGCCAATCACTTTCAATGACAATGCATATTTTATCAGAGCATGCTTTGCTTGCATGTTTTGCTTACAAGTACGGTGTGTGGTTAATGCAGATTGAATGCCTTACAAAATGAATCTATTAGGTGTTGGAACATCTTAACACCTCCTGTTTTCTTTCCAGAAAGGGGTAAAACCCTCTTCTTATCTTTTTCATACTTTTGATACTGGCAAAAAAGTTCCACCATATATTTTGAACAAGCTATGACTTCGTGTGCCCACGGGGTGGCACTACGCTACCTCAAAAGTGTACACGTGCTCTGACAATTGCCCTATCTTCGTTAAGGAAAGTTTCGCAGTTTTTAAACACTGTTTTAAGATACTCCTATAGTTTCAAACAAGACACAGCCTTCGTGTACACTTGCAATTTAAAAACAATCAGCAGAATTTCCCGAAGCGGTACATTGTGGTCCCCCCTCCCTCTCTCTATTTAAGGCCTCGACACAGAGGTGTTGTCTTTCTGTGTGTCCCTCTCTGTGTCTGTGTGTGTTCTCTCTCTACTTGTGTGTTTGTCTATGTGTCTTCGTGTCTGTGTTTTGTCTCTCTCTCAATTTTAGCATTCTTTGGAAGAACGTTAATCAAGTAGGTAGGATGTTGACTGTTGTGTTAGCCGACTCTCTATTGCAATATATTTCTAAGTTTGCTATGTTTGTTTTCGTATTCATTCGTACCTGACGATGGTTGCTTGTGTTGCTATCGAAACGTCGTAATCCATTATTATTTAATTTATTTTCTTTCTACATGACTTTACCGAAAGAACCAAAGATTGGCTCTTGTTTTATGTTACTATTTTTCAAGAAATGTGACTCACAGCAGCAGTGACGCAAGTGGTAGGTAACTGCAGTCCGATTTGGTTGTAATTAGAACACACCAGCACATTACTCACCAATTCTCAACTGCTGCAAAGTCTGCCTCTGAAAACCATATATCTGGAGTCTCCACATCCATACTATGAGGCCCATCAACTTGGCGAATGCCAACGATAACCAAATCTGTAACTACCTGGCGACTGCCTGATGTTGTTGGTTGTAACTACGAGCAAAACGTCGTACCCGAAGCAGTAATAACGTGGCCACGTTGGTTCACGTGACCACTTTATTCACTGGCTGCGACGGCTGGAGTGGGGTATACGACACACCATCTACTTATGCGATCTGACCCAACAATTCCTTATGAAACGTAATAAATTGGTCACGAAAGCCCACGTGTTAAATGTAAGAAAACCTCGTCGTGTAAAATAATAATGCAGACCAGAAAAAAACACGTTTGCTCAAATTAACTTTGATGGTGACGTTCAACAATAGGACCATAATGCGCAGATGGCCGTGTGTTTTTACACATTTATACATGTTGTGTGAAACGTACGGTTTTCCGGCCCGTACTAATATTCTCATGTTATGATGATGGAGTTTTCTTTGTCACCTACAGAGAACTTCAAAAGGCGAGACCCGTGACCGACAAGTAATCGCTCACACGTGATGGGCAGCGACTCTCCCTGCTAATCACCTCCCCACCGGACACATCAAGCGACCTCACAATCCGCCTCAATGAGCTTCCCTCATTAAGTTACGAGTACGCCCTGCCTCCAAGACCACCCAAACTTCATGAAGAAGTGCCAAGCGTTTGCCTCCCATTTTGCCAATCTAACCGCATTCAGGTTATGGTTAAGGTTGAGCTGTAATCCTGACCCAGTTAAAAATACTACTTTTTTGCGTTTGGCCAATGACCAAATCGCTTGAAATGCGCCCGACAATGTTGTACTGGACTCCCGTCTATGCTCCCCAGCTTCACCAACCCACACTGACCAGCGCGGTTAAGTATGGTACTACGCTGAACGTGAAATGTTACAAAATCTCGAACCTAGTTGCCAGTAAACATGGGACGTTGGGTCAACGTTGGGCCGAACAGTCCCAACGACAATGCCATAGTTGGCCAAACGTTGACGTGTTTACTGAGTTCGTGTAAAGTTGTACAAGCTACCAAACTTCTCTGACTCCGATGTGCCAGTAAATATGACTCGTGCACATGGTAACTCCGCAAAGAAGGACATTGTGTTTGGTACGTTGCTTGTTAGCATACAAATGCAAATTTTCTTTAGTGACAGCTGTCGGCTCGAATCACACACACATGCGTATACATGCTGTGTGTGTGTTAAAGTAAAAAAAAACTCATCACGGGAACAAGAAACCACTCGTCTCCACGCACAAAGAGCACGCTGTCTCTCGGACAAAATGCACAAGACGAGTTTGTTGAAATGTGTAGCTTGTCGTTCGTCGGCAATGGGACATGTGACAATAATGATTGCGATGATGGGGGGGGTGCGCTGTCGAGATCTTTCTCTTTCTCATTCTAGCCCCATCCTCTCAATTCCCTCCCTCTCTACCACCCGTCCGCTGTTTTATATAACAACACAAGAGGGTGGGTGGGGGAGGCGATAGGGCTTGGGTTGGCTTAGGCTGGCTGGGAATGGGTTGGTAGCCTGGTTGGCTGTCTCTATGGGCTGGTGAGTACGGACGACTGAAAAGGAATCGCCTCTCCGGGAGTCCCGTGGACAGAGCGCGATGCCGAAAGCCGACGGGGAGCCGAGCGAGACCGATGCCCTCATTTTCGAGGAGAAAGGACCCTCTGGTCACAAGGTAAGTCGACGAAAAGCCACGCGTCCGGCGAGGCAGCGGCGCCAATAGATTCGTGAGACGCCACTTAAACTAAACTATGAAAAATGTTTTATTTTACCAGGTAAGGCGCACTCGGCGTTCCATAGCTCATTTTCAGAAGCGACCTGGCCACAAATGATGAGCTCAACGAAGTTGTTTATCACGTGGAAATGTCTAGCAGCCAAATACTCTTAAACGCATATTTATAAATGTGGATGGGAAACCCCGAAGGACCAGGAGAAAAAACCACGCGACAACGAGGAGAACACGCAAACTCCAAATATACAGCAGGCGTCAGGGTCGGGATCGAACCCACGGCTTGCATGTAGACCAGGCGAGGTAGTTAACATCTCTCCACTGCGGCGCCCCTTATTGAAGGTTGCGGCAGGGAGATTTCATAATTTGATGGGTAGCGATGCCAGATCGGTGGATCTTGGACGGACGAGACCCGCCGTGAGAAATGCGGAATTGAGAAGGGAGACGCTTTGACTTGCATTATATTGCACCTTTTCTTTGATATTGGCAAGCTCTAAGAACCGTAAACGTTTAGATGCCTTCACCCACCCTCACGAACCAACGTGGAGAAGTATGGTCAACGAACCCCCTACGACCAGCACGGTAGAGGGAGACCCCTAAACATTAACAAAGGTCTGTACACGTAACATACACGGGTTCGGTAAGGGCTGGCGGATAGTGTAAATAATCCTTAAGATATATAATGGACATATGACTTTTATTCATAACCAAGTACTGTAATGAAAACAACTACATACTGTGCCATGGAGAGACGCATGTATATGTGGATATCCCTGGATATACACCGAGTGTGAAAGTGTATGTATCTGTGTGCGTGCGAATCCAGCGACCTGCATTCCATTCCCACTCACGGCTAACATCAGTATCCCGTGATATTAGAACCGGTCCTGGGAAGCTCGCCTCTACACCAGCCCGCATTGACAAAGCGTGGCGAAGTATGGTCAAACTCCCACAACCGACACGGCGTGGCGAGGCCTTCATCCATTCGTGGATTTTAAAAGGAGCTGTTAATGATCAAAACTTGTGTATTTATATGTACGGTAGTGTACCAGTTAGTGCGCTGCGAACCCGGCCACCCCAGTTCGATTGCCGCTTACGGTCAAAACCAGTGGCGATTGTTAGAACCGGTCATGGGTCTCTCTTAGGTCGATTCAGCCTCAAATGGGTATCCGGTATGTGTAAACATCATCACTGGGGAGACAAAGGCAGCCGGGCGTAGTGTTGGCCACCCACCCCCTCGTGTCCCGTGCCGGCCTTCAAAAGTGCTCGCAAACAGCACTTGTCCCAACAGTCTGTGAACGCGATACGGGGTATCTTTATTATTATCTGTATTGCATGGAGAGCAACGGTGCAGTGGATAATGCGTTGCGCTACGAACCCAGTGACCCGAGTTTCATTCTCGAGGCTTAATAGGAGTGAAGATCTGAACCGATCCCGAGCCTCATCCCAAAGGTCGTCTCGCCCTTGAATGAGCATCTGGTGCGGTGGAATTAAAGATCGGCCCTGCGGTGGTCCTGGCGACACCAACCCATTTAATAGGCGCTCGCTAACAGCGTTGGGGGCTGAAAATGCAACAAGGGAGATCCGTTGTCTTTGTAGCAAGATTGGGAAAACTCTTGTTTATTTCTTACCAAGGGCTGAATAGGACTTTCACGTTGGCGGGTCGCGTTAACACACAATGTAGCGTTATCATAATAATAATAATACTGCGAATAATATGAATACTAGATGCTCACTGTGGGGTTTTTTTCAGTAAATCCTTGGCAGGGTGAAAATATGCCCCTCTAGTACCCGATTAGTGAGGCTAAAATGCATGAAGTCACAGACAATCGGTTCGAAGCGGCACAACTCAAATCGCCGCGGGGTCGTCGAAAATAGTCCAGTTTCCGACCCCGTGGGCTGTATCGCATAAATCGTATCCCGGTGAGGAGCGGTGGCACAGCGGGTAACGCTCTGCGCTATGAAATCCGGCGATCCCGGTTCGATTCCTGCTCATGGTCAACACTAGTGACGATTATTTGAACCGGTTCTGGGCCTCCTCTCGATCTACTCCGTCTCAAGTATCTGGTACGGTGTGTAAACATCGCCACGAGGGGAGACAAAGCTGGTCAGGTGTGGTGCTGTGCACCCACTCCCTCGTATGCCGTACCGACCTTCATAGGTGCTAACTACATTTGCTCCCGCAGTGTTAAGGCCATACGGGTGATTGATTTTTTTTTCTATTTTGCCGGTCTCCCCGCTTGCCACCCTGCAGGAGCCCTGGCTACTGCTGGGCGCCATGTGCTTCTCGGCCGGGATCGGAGGCGGCTTCCAGTATGGCTTCAACGTGGCAGTCATCAGCGCCCCCACGGGGGTGCGTGTAGTTGCGACACAGATGTGGATCCGCCCTGCTCACCACTACAGCAGCAGTTGTCGTGCTCGAAGCACTGGCAGACCTCGTAAAACGGCCACAAATAATAATACACGTTCACACTGATGAACTAAGGCCTTCCCCCACACCTCGTCGGCCATGGTAGTTGTATTGATCATACTTCTCCACGCTTGTCAGTGAGGATTGGTGAAAGTCGGACCCGAGACCGGTTCGGCTATCACTTGCCACTGATGTTAGCCATGGCCAGGAATCAAACTTATTTGACTGGTTTGTAGTGTGATAATCACTGCGTCACTGCTCCACATGGACAAACCTCAATGGCATTTGACGAACACGAACGACGTTGGACAACTGTGTAACACAATCTCTTGTTTTGCCTTCTATCACACCACCTCCATCCAGGTGTGTCCAACTTCATTTGACCAGTTCTCTCTCCACAAACTCTGCATCACCAACCTTTCCACGTTCTCTCCGTCACGCGCAGAACTTTTCCAGTTGCTTACGCGTTTTACGTTTCCTGCCAGATCTCCCAAAACTCAACTATGGGGGTGGTCGGCAGCGATGATTAATCGAAAATAAGTTCTGGTTCTCTGGGAGGATCGTTTGCTCACCCGGTGTGAACCGGGTACTGACAGCTGGTGTGGACGTGAACACGTCTTCTTCTCCCCGTACAGCTGCTGATGTAGATCGAGAGCAACAACCCCAATTTCACATTCAGGTGGTCAAGCCAAACAACCTCGTCAGGAGCAGCGGAGTGTATCGCTGCGATGTCGCCTTCGTATGTGTGGATCGGGCACTGCGTCGTTATACGCGAACACCGATCTATTGCCACAATCCCTTCTCAAAGTAATTCGTTCCAAATTAATAATTAATTTCTAATGAACCTCTCAGTCAATTGTTTGCTCCATATACATTAACCATTGTCTTCTGCTTGATCTCTGCTGTTTACCAGTTTGCTAAGACAACTTAAAAATAATTTGAGATACCTAGGTGGTGCACAAGCTTAAGACAACTAGAGAAAAAACACACATTCTGTCCATAACACTTTGGCCTGAAAAGGAAAAGTATATAATAGGCAACGTTTTGGCCAATAGCCCTCGTATGTTGAGTTTTTTTTGTTATCGAGTAAACAACCTTCATGATGCACAAAGGCATCCGAGTCTTGCAGAACCAATGGCACCAGGCACCTTAACTGTCCCTAATATTTGAGTCATCTCTACTCGCCAATTCCACACCGAGGTGACTCCACAATTCTGACTAACCAACTCTGTGTTCATCGTGCCTGTTAAAATATGTGTGCGTGTGAATGGCTGCATAATCTAGATGAGTTGATGGACCCATATCTGCATGGTCATCAGTTTTCCACAGCCTACAAACTCGACATCGCTGCTGTTATTATCATCGCTTACCACATCGCCACCATCCATCTCAATGGTAGTGGTGGATAGCCGATCCATAAATACAGCGATATCCTCCACGACTCCCGACGCGGTGATCTGACTTGACCACCTGGATGTGAATTGTAGTTGTTCCTCTGCGTCTACATCAGCCATACGAAAGAATTTATACTGTCTCCTGCCATCCATTACATTCGCCTAAAGGTAACATGTTCGCAACATTTGCAAAAATCAGATATATTTGTGGGGGAGCGGTGGCGCAGAAATTAGCGCAATGAGCCGTAAACCCGGCAATCAATCTCCAATGACCCGCATGGTGAAGTATGGTCGAACAATCCTCACGACCAACATGGCTTGGGGAGGCCTTCCTCTCGAAGCGGAGTGACAAAAAGGGCTGAGTGACGAAAGGGGCTGTACAACTTCCAATCCTCGCACGTGTTAATTCATGCGCGTTGTATTATTCTAGTAAGCATGAGACACATTCTGTAATGGATCGTTACACGGCGGTTGAGTGCCACTCAAATGAAAAAAATGTTTTTTTTGCTTCTTGGCGGCGTTGACAGTTCATCCAGCGGTTTGCTAACGTCACCCACGCGCGCCTCTGGGCCTCCCCACTGAGCGGACACGAGCTCACGCTGCTGTGGTCAATCATCGTGTCCATTTTCACGTTCGGCTGCCTCCTGGGCGCCTTGCTCGCTGGTCCGCTCTCCCGTCGCATGGGCAGGTGAGCCTGGGGATCGGTCGCGTTTGCGACAGGTGAGAGGGTCAAGGGGAGGTGATCCGACCCTCGACCACATTTATTCTGCCCACCCGCTCACCTGCCGTCTCACGTGTCCACGTAACTCAACTTTGCTCTCTCAGCTACAGACACTGCCAACGACCTCTACATCCCCACCCTCTCACTTGCTTACCCTTTCTCTTGACCACCCTCTCATCTGCTTACCATCTTACCCTCCCAATTGTCCATCCTATCACCTGCCCACCAACTCACCCTCCCATCAGCCTATCCTCACCTGCCCACCATCCAACCTACCTACCCTCTCACCCATTCACCCTCTCACCCTACCCACCTTCTCACCCTCCCACCCTACCTACCCTCACACTTGCCTACCCTCTCACCTATTCACCTTCTCACCTGCCCACCCTCTCACCTGCCCACCCCTCTCTCTCTAACCTCACCTGGCAGGAGAGGCACTCTGCTCTTCAACAACGTGTTTGCGCTGCTGGGCGCCGCGCTCATGTGGGGCTCCCACGCCGCCGCCTCCTATGAGATCCTCATCGTGGGACGCCTGCTCGCCGGAGTCAACGCTGGTACGAGACGGGGATTGCTGCCTCTGCTGGCATGGCCCTGCATACCAGGCGAGGTAGTTAACATCTCGCCACGGTGGTGAGATGTTAATGACCTCGCCTGGTATGCAGGAGGTCATGGGATCGATCCCGACCCCTGACGCCTGCTGTATATTTGGAGTTTGCATGTCTTTCTCCCTGTGGTTGCATAGATTTTTCTCCGGGTCCTCCGGTGTTTGCTTCCATGCATTTAGAGTATTTGGCTGATATAAATTTCCACGCGATAGGCCACATCGTTGACCAGTCATTTGTGGCCAGGTCGTTTTTGAAAAAGAGCTACATAGCTCAATGAGCCTTACCTGGTAAAATAAAAATAAACTGCCTGCTCACGGCCACTGGTGGCAGAGAAGGGCCTCCGTCAGAGGGAGCTCTGTCGAGTCAAGTTTATAATTATTTCCTGCTGAAATGAGCATGGAGGCAATGCTCGTCTCTGTGTTTACAGCCCTGAGCCAGTGGTGGAAATTCCACATTCCTATGGTACGGGCGAGTGCAATCCATAAGACAAACCACTGTTGACTCTTCCACAAAGCGGTACCTATTTTAATGACCCCGTAGAGAGGATGGGCTGAGTCAACTGATAACAAGGGTTTTAACTCAAGCCCCTATCGAGGGAATTTGGTCTAATATTCCACGTTGGCCAGATGGCTTGAGAAAGGTTGAAGCACCCACACTTTATCTCACCACGCATGACCTGCAAATCGACTTAACCGTCGTGTACCCATTAATCCTGCTAGGAGAGGACTGCGGCGGTGGAATGTTAGCAACTTTCCCCGTGTTTTTAAACTGCTGCGCACGGGAGATGGAGTCCAACCTGTGGCCTCTGGATTGCAAGTGAAGTGTGCCAACCATTACTCCACCGTGGTAGCAGCCCTGCCACCTCGGCAATACAGAAAACAAAACTTGGGGCGTATCATTCGGAGAAAGATGAACATCTCACAGTTCCGGAAGAAGGGACAACTTTTCGTAAATGCATTGTCTTGAGTGGTGTAATTTTGTCTTATTAATCTGCTACACAACTGACAAAAAAACGGACATTTTAAGGGCCCCCAAAACACGTTTAGATTTCCCAGGACAACTACGTGAAACAGGGGTGCGATGCTGAGAACACCAGAACGGGGTGGAAACCCTTGTAGGTAGCTGGCGGAATGACCTCCCTTTTGCAAGCGGTTCAAACGATTATCATGCTAACTGTGGCAGAGCCGCCTGACTTCAGTTTTCAGGCCTCCATCCAGTCGCGGATTGACAGCAGCTGTTCCGTGCATTGCAGGCGTGGGGCTGAATCTGCAGCCCATGTACCTGGGTGAGAGTGCCCCCCAGCGGCTGCGGGGGGCCCTGTCCCTGTCCTGCATCGTGTTCCTCACGCTGGGCATCGTGGTAGCGCAGGTGGCGAGTCTGCGGTGGGTACTGAGCACCGGGGGGGGGGGGGGGTCCGGATTCCGGGTCCTAGTGGGGAAAGGGGGGCGGTGAGAAAGGGAGACAGATTGTGAAGGGTTGGTATTGCAGATGTGTGTGTGTGGAGCGCCGGGCGGCTAAATCACAGCAAGTTGGAAGAGAACGGGGCCACAGCTGGAGCATCTGCCAGTCATCTCAGTCAGTCAACCCATGGCATATGGGTCTGTCCCGTGACCTGCTGCCAGCGAGTCTTCGACACTTCACGTGGCCTGAAAGTCCACCTAGCCTGGCACAAACGCCGTGGTGATGTCATCACTATCTAGTGGCGAATGGCGGTTGTTGTTGTTGTGTGTAGAGGTGGGTGTGTGCATGGAAATGTGTGAGAAGGTGTGTACGTGCAAGCTGTGTGCAGGTGTGTGTGCTAGGGTTGTCGCCGCAATATACATTTTCACGACGTGATACAATGAATGTGTATGTATGTATGTTAAACTTCTACATAGCCGACTGTGCTTATCGGAGGTGTGATTCAATATCACTGATATCTAAGACTGCTGTTGATAATGATGATAATGCTGCTGATGATGATGGCCGTAGTGGTGCAAGCTGTGTGGAGAGTGGTAGTGTAGCGGTTAGTGCGCTGCGCTACGAACCTGGCGACCTGAGTTCGATTCCAGCTCACGGCCAACACCAGTGACGATTATCTGAACCGGTCCTGGGCCTCCCCGAGGTCGACTAAGCCTCAAATGAGTACCTGGTGCGGTGTGTACAACATCGCCACTTGGCAGACAAAGGCGGCTGGGCGTGGTGTTGGCCATCCTCCCCCTCGCGCACCATGCCGGCCTTCATAGGTGCTCGCTAACAGTACCTGCCCAAACAGTCGAGGATCTTTGCCTTTGTTCCCGGCGAGCCCAGGGAGGTGCTGGGCAGCGAGAAGGAGTGGCCGCTGCTGCTGGCCCTCACGGCGCTGCCGGCGCTCGTGCAGCTCGCCACGCTGCCCGCCTTCCCCGAGAGCCCGCGGTTCCTGCTCATCGACCGCGGAGACCGCCGCGGCGCATTGGCCGGTGAGACCCGTCGCCGTCACCTCTGCCTACTCGCTCCGAGGTCCATCAATTCGTCTGCTAGGGCACCACCGCCGCAGACTAAAAATCTCGATTTTTTTTTTATCCTGGAAGAATATGATGAGATGTGAAGCTCATTGCGGAGAGGGGGGGGGTGTCAGCGAGTTGTGTTGAAGAAACAATACGAAAGACGATCGGAGTGCAGGTTAGAGAAAAAGTAAGCAAGTCGCTAAAAATAAATATAAAGTATAGAAGTACAAATTGCACAAGTACATTTCATCCCTGCCGATTTGTAAACACCAAATTCAAGCTTGGGGCAAGGCAGCAAAACGACAACAGTCGCAGACCACACCAAGACAACACCCAGTCCCTGAATTAGATTGCACAATCAAATGGGACTATCGTACGTCCACCCATCCCTGGATCCACCTGATTGTGATCTCAGCAAGACCCACCAACCCCCACATGATTTAGATTTAAAACTTTTATTATGTTCATTATTTAATTATGTTTTATTTTATTATTTTATTATTTCCATTCTACGTGACTTTACCGAAAGAACCAAGAAGATGAACCCCCACATGCTCGCCTGTCCATCACATTCCTGCTCACCTCACCTTGCCCCCCTCCCCGCCCCCTGTCAGCCCTGCGCCGTCTCCGTGGCCCTGGCGCCGACCTGAGGAGCGAGCTGCAAGATATGGAGGCCGAGAGGCTGGCGGTGGCCGGGCGGCCGGTGTCTCTGCTCAAGCTGCTGCAAGACCGCTCCGTACGCTGGCAGATCACCTCCATCGTGGTGCTGAGCGCCGGCCAGCAGCTGAGCGGCCTCACAGCGGTGAGCGTCGGCTTTTAATCACACGCATCTGTGGGTACATACAAAGAAAAAAAACAAAGATCCCCCATGTAGCCTTAACATGCTACTGCGGCAAGTGCTGTTAGAGAGAACCTATGAAGGCCGGCACGGCACACCGGGAGGATGGGTGGCCAGCACCACACCCGGCCGCCTTTGTCTCCCCGAGTGACAAAGTTTACACATTGTACCTGACACTCATTTGAGGCTGAGTCGATCTAGGGGAGGCCCAGCACTGGTTCAGATCATCGTCGCTGGCGTTGTCCGTGAGCGGCAATCGAACTCGGGACGTCGTGTTCATAGCGCAATGCGCTAACCGCTACTCCAACGTTCCCTCATCATCAGCGCAGATCTACAGCTGATGAGTAAAGGCTTCGTGGTCCTGCGCACGAGCCAATCTCATCGAACCATCTCTGCAGCAGCCGTCCTCTCGAGCCTATTCCCAATCTGCTATTCTGACTTTTCCTGCCCGTACCTGCCCCAAAAACACCACGGCTCTGTGCTAGTGTCACGTGTTTGTGGCTGAGTGCAGCTCTACCAAGGTGTTCACAAACCCACTTGCCGTACTGCACACCGTAGTCTCTGAACCGATGGCGCGTGTGAGTGTGCATCCACGGGTGGCTAAAGCACAGCAAGTTGGCACAGTAGGGTGCACAGGTGGTGCATCAGCCAGTCGGTCATCTCAGTCAGTCGACCCGTGGCACCTGCTGGGTCTGCCCCGCGACCTCCTGCCAGCGGGCGTTCGACACTTCACGTGGCCTCAAGGTGCACATGGCCTGGCACAAGCGTCGTGGTGACGTCACCGCCACTTAGTGGCGAATGGCGGTAATTGTTGTTGTTGTGTGCATCCACAGCTCTACTCGTACGCCGAGTACGTGTTCGTTGCCGCGGGCATCGCTGCCGACAGCGTCCCCTACGTGAACCTCGGCACGGGGCTCTGCGAACTCCTCACCGCCACTTGCTGTGTACGCGGGGGGCTTGGGGTTGACACACACACGATCATGATGACGATGACACATTCCGCTCGTTTTCCCAGGAAAACGTCACCGAGTCTCACGAGGAGGATCCTGCTAAGTTTTCATAGTAGGGGGGGCGATGTATGTAATGTATGTTGAACTTCTTTCGCACCGTACGTAGCCAACCGTGCTAATCGGTGGTGTGGGGGAAGGGAAGCAAATCGAAACGTCGTAGTTTTTTTTTTGTTCTTTTATTTCAACCTATCTACGTGACTTTACCGAAAGACCCAAAGAATATGAATTCCTGCAGTCATTAAAGTTATAGGTCAAGATTTAGGGGAATTATGGTAATGGTGAATGATACCGTTGAAGAAGATGACGATTGTGTTATTACTGTTAATAAAGACGACCGTATTATAATGGCATGCAGATGCTGCTGCTGATTATGATGATAGTGCTGCCGATAACTCTGCTGCTGATTATAATGATACGAATGATAATGCTTCGATTACTGACACTGCCGGGCCGTGAGCACACTCCCCCCTCTCTCTCTCTGTCCCCACCTATTACCCCTTCTTACCTCCCGATCACCGATGTTCTGGACGCGTCGCCTCCCGTGCCAATCTGCCGCAAGGCAATGTCGTGCGCGCGTTGTGGGCCTGCTGGCTACAGGGGATGTTGGTGGAGCGCACGGGCCGCAGGAAGCTGCTGGTTGCTGGCTACCTCGCCATGGCTGTCTGCTGCTGCATCAACACCCTGTCTCTGGCCCTCCTGGTGAGTGGTGCACATCCGTCTCCTGCATAAACCCCAGTCCCCTGAGCAACTACACCACGGGTGGGATATCTGTAGAGTTTTGACAGCCGTACGACGAACTTTACGGAGATGTTAACTACCTTTGCGAGCCTGGCCACAAATGATAAGCTCAACGAAGTGCCTGATCACGTGGACACTTATAGCAGCCAAATACTTTAAACGCGTGATGTTGATTCTAAATGTGGAGGGAAAACCGGAGGACCCGTAGAAAAATCGACACTACCACGGGGAGAAAGATACACAAACTCTAAATATACAGCGGGTGTCAGGGTCGGGATTGAACTCACGATCTCCTGTGCCCACGTGCGCGTCGCAGGAGCGCGTTTCATGGATGCCCTACCTGAGCGTGGCCAGCATCTTTGCCTATATCCTCAGCTTCGGCATCGGCCCCGGTGAGTGGTCCCCCGCGACCAAAAACGTCGTTGTCATTGTTGTCGTTTGCGTTCGAAGGTAACGCCGCTGACGGTACCATGCGCTGTGCGTGCAACTGTGGCTGTGTAGACGGCTGTGCAGATGGCAAGTCTCTGGTTCCCACATTGGTCGCACGTGTAGCTTGATGCAGCCAGCCGAGAGTTTCATCGATTACGAAGTTCACAAGGTTGTATTTTTGTCTCGGTTGTGCGGCTACGTCTCTCAAGCTGCGCCCTGAAACACGTAGCCCAGGGTTTTCCAAATTCCAGTCGTCGCAACACGCTACGTCTTTCCACGTTTACCAATTTTCTCCCCCGCCCCCCATTCTAATTAACTCGTTGCATGCTGTACACGCCTGATGATTGTTAAACTCGGCCCACGTGACCGCGCTGAGCAATTAATGCTGACATGACAATGTCAATTTTAATCGGTTTTGTTAATGCGGACAGTGTTAATTGCTTTGCGTATCACGTCAGACGCGTTTAACAATCATTGGGCATGTGCGACGTGCAATTAATTAATTTATATTTTAATGGGGTTGGAGTTAATTTGTAAACGTGGAAAGGCGTAACTTGGTGGGAGCTCGTGAGAAAGTACCCAGTCAACATGCAACGTTAAGCCAACGTTGCCATGTGGTGTGAACCGTTGGGCCAACATTGGCACGACACTGGCACAGCGTTGCATGTTTACTCGGTATTAGCCATCTCAGATTTGCTCATAAAAAAAATCGATGAAAATCAACGGCAGATAAACCCAGGATCTCAACATCACCACCAGCGCGATACTTCTACAACTGGTACATTACCCCTTTGTGTCGCTGGGTCGCCTTGCAGACCTTCCCCCGGTGAGCCAAGAACCTCTGACCCGCGTGCACGCCACCCCAGGTGGAGTGACGGCTATCTTGGCGGCGGAGCTGTTCACGCAGGAGGCTCGCCCTGCAGCCTTCATGCTGAGCGGATCGGTGATCTCCCTCAGCCTGCTCGCCGTCAGCCTCGTGTACCCCTTCCTCATGGTGAGGTCTTGCGCACAGCCACGTACACCGTCAGACCCCGACACCATCAGCCCCGGACCTTGACCCTGGGATGCCGGCCTGAAATCACTGACAATGTGCAGTGCTCGAGTCTGGATGACCTATTTGGGCAATGATGTATAATTGCTCACGTGATGATAAGATGTTAAACGTCTTGTATCAGGTTTATGCAAGAGTTTGAAACAATGTATATACATTATATCACGCCAAGTTACTTGGATACGTGCTTACAACCTATGGTAAATAGTAATCTTGGCTCTCCATCATTCCTAACATTTGCGGTTTCCCCACGGTTCATAGAAACTTCTGCAATTTGCGGCGGCAAAAGCCCTAGAGTCTAGAGTCCGTGAGTTTCGACGCATATTTTTTAAGAACATCAAAACTCCCAAGAATCCACGTTGATATGGATGGACCACATCGCAGATCTCGTAATCCACTGGTTCCGTAATCAGTGGAAAGATTTTCGTGTTGACACGGTGTTCCGCTAACTGCAGGAGAAATCAGAGAGACACGCAAATTCCATATATACAGCAGCAGGCATCAGGGTCGGGATCGAACCCACGACCTCCTGTACACCAGGCGAGGTAGTGAACATCTCGCCACCGTGGCACCCCTAAGGTAGTCGAATGGACACCTGCAGCCGCCAAACGAACCCGTCATACGCCATCACCCGTGCCCTCGTGCGTCTCTCTCGCAGATGGTGCTGGGTCCCTTCACGTTCTTGGTGTTCGCCGTGGCGTGCATGCTGTGCGCGTTCTACGCGGGGCTCGTGCTACCCGAGACGCGAGACCGCTCCTTCCTCGAGATCAGCCGAGACTTCCAGTCGCTGAACGCGGACAAGCACGGAGCCGCACGCCCTGACCCAGTGGGGGGATCTGAGGTCCTACAGGGAAAGTCGGGTGGGGTGGGGATGACGAGATAGGGCGGTGTGATGTGGCCCATCGGTGGCGGGGTCCGATGCTTGTTGCAGCCTAGCGGTCACCCTAGTTAATACTGCAGGGGTATTAATCATGGTAATATGCACCAATTCTAGATTTGAAGCTTTCGTGACTGCAAGGATTCATATTCTTAGGTTTTTTCGGTAAAGTCACGTAGGTAAAACATCAAAATTAATAAAAATAAAATAAAACAAAAATCACGACGTTTCGGAGGCAACACAAGTCTCCGTCATCAGGTGGGACGTTTTACCTACGTGACTTTACCAAAAAAACCTAAGAATATGTAATATGCACCGTCTGCTTCTCAGTGGAATGTTACAACGTGCGTGCTGAATTTGCCAACCATTCCGAATTTCACTGTTCTCACTTCGTGATGTTAAAATGAATGCACTGTTACACCACATGTAGACTTTTGATTACGGACAATGTCTTAGATGCATATGATTGACTAACCCGTCTTTAAACACTTCAAGAAAACCGAAACTACGGAACAAACAGTTCAAAACGTTTTTTCACTCCTGAGACTCGAATGTTGTCCGGAAATCTGTTCACGCGAAAAACTAGATCACTTTGAAAGTGCCAACTGCAGTAATTACGCGATTTGATAATTAACAATTAACACCCGTAATGTAACCCTGCTATGTATAACACAGATTACATCACTGGAGCGTCAATTAAACGTTTTTATTTTAATGTTTGTATTAAAAATATATAATAAACGCGTCAATTTTAGGTGCTGGCTTGATTGAACCCTTTGTGAGTGCTTTACACGAAGAAGACTTCGCCAGATGGTGACCACACTTCGTACGCTTCTCAACATGGCAATGACGTTGTCGAATTCACAGTTTCTCCGGCTGCTACCCATTTTTGAAGACATTTTCATGAGATTTAGCGGTTCGACTGAGGGGCCGTCCATAAATGACGTCACGCACCTAGGGGGGGGGGGGGTCAGACATTTGTGACGATGTGTGACGACGGGGGGGGAGCGGGGGGATGAGAAATGTGACGTCACATCAAAAATGCCGTCCATAAATGACGTCACGCGATTTTGGACGATTTTTGACCCCCCCCCCCCCTTAGTCACACGGCGTCACAAAAAGTCAGACCCCCCCCTCAAATATGACGTCACAAAGCTCTGTCCCCCCCCCCCAAAATGAAACATGCTTCAAATCGCTTTAAACTATCGTCATTGTAGTGCGTATTTAATGTGGCGCTGCACTCTGATGTTGTAGGAGTGTTGTTATAACAATTAGTGTTGTTATAACAATTCTATATTTATTGAAAGTTGCGAAATTTTGATGTGACGTCACATTCTCAACCCCCCCCCCTCTCGTCACACATCGTCACAAATATCTCCCCCTCCCGCCCCCAGGTGCGTGACGTCATGTATTGGCCGGCCCCTTAAACCATCAATGTCAGTCGCGTCATTACGCAATGGTGCCGCCCCGTGTAATTTCCCGCGCTTTTTCCCCTCCCTGCAAGCACCAAACAAATGAATCCCGCGCACCCCCCTCCCCGGAGAATTGCAATCACGCCATTGGCCCAGCACGCTCGTCACGTGTTTGTAATCCTCGCGCTGCACCAAATTTGGCGGGAGATATAAACAAAACCAGCCGCAGGCTTCGTTGCCACGGAGACGAAGGCCCCGTGACGTCATCGCCCGCGCAACTCGCCCGCCATGTTAGGAGGGGAGAGCTCCTGAGACCCGCTCGATGATAAAATCCCACGAAAGTGTTTGTCGATAGCGCGTTAAAGTCAACAAACTTTAGATAAATAGCTATTTTGAAGGGGGGGGGGGGGTGATATATTGTTGACGTTTCAGGCGATGACCCTTCTCGATAGCAATATAAAATGCGTAAGTGGTGGATGCTGGTTTCGCAAACAGACATCCACTCTTTTGCGAATTAACTCAACAGATTTGGCTCTTAAGGTTTTAATATCAGTCAGTACAACACGAAACAAAGGAACTTAACTTCCCCTAAGCAACACAATATAAACAGTCTCCCCCATATCGCTCTCCACGTAAAATTTAATTTGTATACAAATTAATGTTTTTGTGACGTATTTTGTAAGTTCACCAATAAAATGATCTGCATTTAACAACACCGTTTGAAAAACAATAGGTGTTTTTACCCTTTATGGCAATAAAATAGGTGTTTAAACACCTTTTGCAACAAATCAAATACAGTACTGCATTAACCACACCGTAATTGTGGCATAAGATGCTTTAATAACTTTTAATAACATGTAGGCAGTGCCTTTGGTGTAGGTCGATCAGTTTAAAAAACAATGCATATAAATTATCAAAACTATCGGATCAAAATGATTTGTTTTGCATGTTCACCCTAAGTACAATGTGTGTGAATTAATGCAATAATAACCTGATTCACTGCAAACATCAAAACACAACTCCCATTTAATTGCCAGAAAGGGGGTGCAAACCTTACTTCTTAGTTTTTCCAGACTCTGACATTGCCAACAACAAAAAACATTTATCCCTCGAAATAATTATTTTACATTTATTTAATTTACTTCCTTCAAGCAACAAGGCCGCATGATGACGACGTCCCCGATGCCGTCACCGTCACCGCCCCATTCGCCCCCAAGTGGCCGCACCGCTCACAATTCCAGCGAAAGCCCTCCACCGCAACTTGGGCCACAAATCGACAATTCGCGGCCACGTTTTTTTAAGGCGACGAACATCGATTTTGTTCTTCTTTGTCTGCAAAGCCAACGCGATGCCGACATTCGTGATTCACACGAACGTGAGCGCTGACCGCGTCTCGGCCTCGATGCACGAGGAGGTGACTGCTCTGATCGCCAAGGCGCTCGGCAAACCCCTGCAGGTGAGGGCCCTCTTTGTGGTGGTTGTTGTTGTGGTGGTTGTTGTTGTGGTTGTTTGTGGTTGTGGTTGATGATGGAGCTTCACGTGTCGTTGCAGTGGGACCTCACGCGTTCAGGGCCCGTGAGAGTTATCACGTAATGGGGAGTTTGAGAGTCATCACGGATTCAGGGAGAGATTCTCACCCGTTCAGGGAGTGAGAGATTCTCACCCATTCAGGGAGAGAGAGATTCTCACCCATCCAGGGAGTGAGAGATTCTCACCCATTCAGGGAGTGAGAGATTCTCACCCGTTCAGGGAGTGAGAGATTCTCACCCGTTCAGGGCCGTGAGAGATTCTCACCCATTCAGGGAGAGAGAGATTCTCACCCATCCAGGGAGTGAGAGATTCTCACCCGTTCAGGGCCGTGAGAGATTCTCACCCATTCAGGGAGAGAGAGATTCTCACCCATCCAGGGAGTGAGAGATTCTCACCCATTCAGGGAGTGAGAGATTCTCACCCATTCAGGGAGTGAGAGATTCTCACCCATCCAGGGAGTGAGAGATTCTCACCCATTCAGGGAGTGAGAGATTCTCACCCATTCAGGGAGTGAGAGATTCTCACCCATCCAGGGAGTGAGAGATTATCACCCATTCAGGGAGAGAGAGATTCTCACCCATCCAGGGAGTGAGAGATTCTCACCCATTCAGGGAGTGAGAGATTATCACCCATTCAGGGAGAGAGAGATTCTCACCCATCCAGGGAGTGAGAGATTCTCACCCATTCAGGGAGTGAGAGATTATCACCCATTCAGGGAGTGAGAGATTCTCACCCATTCAGGGAGTGAGAGATTCTCACCCATCCAGGGAGTGAGAGATTCTCACCCATTCAGGGAGTGAGAGATTATCACCCATTCAGGGAGAGAGAGATTCTCACCCATCCAGGGAGTGAGAGATTCTCACCCATTCAGGGAGTGAGAGATTATCACCCATTCAGGGAGAGAGAGATTCTCACCCATCCAGGGAGTGAGAGATTATCACCCATTCAGGGAGTGAGAGATTATCACCCATTCAGGGAGTGAGAGATTCTCACCCATTCAGGGAGTGAGAGATTATCACCCATCCAGGGAGTGAGAGATTATCACCCGTTCAGGGAGTGAGAGATTCTCACCCATTCAGGGAGTGAGAGATTATCACCCATCCAGGGAGTGAGAGATTATCACCCATTCAGGGAGTGAGAGATTATCACCCATTCAGGGAGTGAGAGATTCTCACCCATTCAGGGAGTGAGAGATTCTCACCCATTCAGGGAGTGAGAGATTCTCACCCATTCAGGGAGAGAGAGATTCTCACCCATTCAGGGAGAGATTATCACCCATCCAGGGAGTGAGAGATTATCACCCATTCAGGGAGTGAGAGATTCTCACCCATTCAGGGAGAGAGAGATTATCACCCATCCAGGGAGTGAGAAATTATCACCAATCCAGGGAGTGAGAGATTCTCACCCATTCAGGGAGAGAGAGATTCTCACCCATCCAGGGAGTGAGAGATTCTCACCCATTCAGGGAGTGAGAGATTATCACCCATTCAGGGAGTGAGAGATTCTCACCCATTCAGGGAGAGAGAGATTCTCACCCATCCAGGGAGTGAGAGATTCTCACCCATTCAGGGAGTGAGAGATTATCACCCATTCAGGGAGTGAGAGATTCTCACCCATTCAGGGAGAGAGAGATTCTCACCCATCCAGGGAGTGAGAGATTCTCACCCATCCAGGGAGTGAGAGATTATCACCCATTCAGGGAGTGAGAGATTCTTCACCCATCCAGGGAGTGAGAGATTATCACCCATTCAGGGAGTGAGAGATTCTAACCCATTCAGGGAGTGAGAAATTATCACCAATCCAGGGAGTGAGAGATTATCACCCATTCAGGGAGTGAGAGATTATCACCAATCCAGGGAGTGAGAGATTATCACCCATTCAGGGAGTGAGAAATTATCACCAATCCAGGGAGTGAGAGATTCTTCACCCATCCAGGGAGTGAGAGATTATCACCCATTCAGGGAGTGAGAGATTCTAACCCATTCAGGGAGTGAGAGATTCTCACCCATCCAGGGAGTGAGAGATTATCACCCATTCAGGGAGTGAGAGATTCTCACCCATTCAGGGAGTGAGAGATTCTCACCCGTTCAGGGCCGTGAGAGATTCTAACCCATTCAAGGAGTGAGAGATTCTAACCCATCCAGGGAGTGAGAGATCCTCACCCATCCAGGGAGTGAGAGATTCTAACCCATCCAGGGAGTGAGAGATTCTCACCCATTCAGGGAGTGAGAGCCTCACCCATCCAGGTAGTACATGTTGTTTATGTAATTTATTGTGAAAATTCCGTCACAGTTCCTATGATCACTGCTTCATTGCTTTCATGGCTTTATTTTGGTGATTTCGAAAAGTGTATTGGTTTAGCCATGTTTGTTTGTTGTAGTACAGAGTTAGACTGATGGCCTTAATCTAAGTTGTCTTGTTGTTTGACTTGCATCCCACTGGGATTTTTGCACACAGTGTTGGGTGTACGGTGCTTTTTCTGCAATATTTTGCTGTCTTTTCTTGGATTTTCTGTTTGCACTCAGTCACATATTCACTTTAAGATTTTTTTTGTTCATGTTTGTGTTTTTTGTTTGTTGCGGTTGCACCCGATTCAAGAGCCGAATGGCTCACAGGGCTATACCTAATAAATGAACTTGAACTAGGGGGATCCAAGGGACCCCCTGCCTGCCCCACGCACGTGTGACGCTGCTGGTACTGCCCGACCGCTCCAAGCCTCGGCTCCGACTACCTTGCCCTGCCCTTTCCTGCCCCAACTTCTCCTTCTTGATATTGCCGTGCTGTCATTCTACCCTGCTTCGCTCTGACCTATCTTAATACACCGTCATATTGCTTTGGCCCTGTGATACCGCCTTGCGCCCAATATTTCCCACCAACTCTACCTTGCCCAAAAAACGTTCTGCTAAAATTGTATTTTCCTATGCCCGCTGAACACTGCCATATTTTGTCTCTGGCTTGCCCTTACTGCGCCGTCAAATGCCCCCCTGCCCCTTGCCTCGTCCTCCCCTCTTCACCGCCTCAGTACGTGGCGGTGCACGTGGTTCCGGGACAGCTGATGAGCTTCGGAGGCACCAAGGAGCCTTGCGCCCTGGCTCATCTCTCCAGCATCGGCAAGATCTCCCCCGCTGAGAACAAGAAGTATTCGGCGCTGCTGTCGGAGGCCATGAACACTCACCTGGGCATAGCCAAGGACAGGTGGGGGTTACGCGCGTGATGGCATCGTCATCATTGTCACCTACCGTACAAACTCATGATAATCCACAATATTCATCATCAACCATCATATACATAATTTGACTACCATGCCCACTATCCATTCATCTATGGTCATCTTCAATATACACTTTCAATCTATGATAATACATGTACGATATCCACTACCATAATCGTGATCTACTAAGCCGACTATTATGAACAATGTACATCCCTCTGTCAATCCACTGCTGGATGAGGACCTCACCACGCCGTGTGGATCGTGGTGTTATTTGACCATATTTCACCACGCTGGTCAGTGCCGGCTTGGTTAACGTCGATGTGTCGTAGAGTACTGATAAAATGGTCCTCACAGCAGCAGCCTGTCAATCTGCATGGCGGTCTCCCATCCTAAATACAGGAGAGGATCAAAGCTGCTGAGCTCCTGAGGTATGATGAGATCAGGTCCATTCTGGGTGATTCGGTTAAAGGCAGAATGAATAACCACACGTGCAATTCATACGGCTTAAGCTGCGTAACTTAGTGGAAAAAACTGAATTAAACGTGTAATTTGAGTTTAAAACATTCAAGTGTATTGGAGTCCTCAATGTATTATAGAAATAAACAAAAACGTATGCAATTATAACTTGATAATACAATACTTTTAATATTTTAAAGGCAACTCAGTTTCGAATGATACACATTTCACCACTGTCTTTAAACCACGGGACCCATCAAATGTTTTGCGATGTCCACTTGTGACTCAAACTCTTCCTCTGCCCTCGTCCCAGGATGTACATCGCCTTCCACAACCAGGATCCCGCGAACGTAGGCTGGAATGGATCAACATTCGCCTGAACATCATCACCTCCGCTACCGCCCAACCTACCCCAACACAGCAATCCTTTCCCACCCTTGTGGTTTCCTTCCTTATGATCGAGTGGTGGACATTTCCCTTTCATTCCTGTCACACAGTGGCATTTCATGGATTGTGCTTGTCGTTTATTGATTGATGCAATTGTCTCTACCATTGCTGTTGTGCGAAAAATGAATCGCCCAACGACATCGAAGTCTGGAATTAAAAAATAAAATCCGCTTAATAACTTGAAACGCATTTTCCTTGTAAGTCACCGACCGCGATGTATCCGTAGAGGCATTGTTACGCGAGGATGACACCAGCGTGGAGTCCATCCCCCGTCTCCCTTCTCCCCCGGGGGCCCAGAGAACAAAGGGAGGCACAAATCTCGTACCAGAAGTTAATTTGTATGTTCATTTAAACACGCTGTGGTGGAGCTGCAGAGCTCCACTCACATTTTAGTGACATGGAGGCCCTGGAGTTAAAGGGTTTGATTCACATGTCGGATAAAACTACTGCTTCCCAGTTTACAAAACAGTGCCCAGTTAACATAAATGGCAACAAACTGACCAAATTGAGCTAAAAACTCCATTCTGCAAACATTAAGTGGCAAATGTTTTAATTATTTGACGAGAGTGTATGGTCTGGGGTATGCAGCGAATAAGCCAAATAATGTCTAGAGTTGTGTTTTTCCAATACATATGATATAATGTGCAATCCCCCCCCCCCCCTAATTCGTTTACATTCTTATTAAATTTATGATACCAGTTTGCAGTAAATCCACTGGTATAATGACAAAAAATATAGAATCATCTTCATCGGTCAGGGATGCCTGTGATGGGGGGGGGGGAAGGGGGGTCTACAGCGAACCTTCATGCAAAACCCCTCAGGATCACGGGGGGCAGAGGAGTGGAACTCAACTCCCGCGACAGCATCGTGCTTCTCGGCGCCCCCCTCTCGCACAAATATACAATACTGTTTGCTGCTGCGTGCGTTTTCGCGGTTGTAGCTGTGCCGTGCAACCCCACGGCGTGATTTCCCGTCGTACCACGTGCCGTTCGGGCACCACGCGCGACGTTCGCTCCCGAAAAAGCTCTCGGCGCGTTTTGACGACGAAACGTCGGGGACGCCGCCGTGCCGAACCGCACGCGGCACAACAATCCGAAAACACGCGGGCGAGGGGGGAAAGCTATTACTGCGCGCTCCAGCAATTTGTGTTCAAAAGGCAAAATCCTGCAGCCGCATCAAGCTGTCAAAATAGACGCGACGTGCTCATAAACGGTGGCAATTGTAGGATAGAAAAATGGCAGTTTGACATAACACGCGGCACGGTTATTAACGACGAGGACGAACGCTGGATAACTTTACACCGTTATCGACGTGCAAAGCAGTGCGTCCCACCGTTACTTGTCGAAAACAAACTCACCCCCAACAATGGCAACGAATAAAAAGGTTATATTAACATATTTCCACATCACTTCCCAGTCCAGACACCACGTATGGTGGAAGGCGCGTAACTAATTTCGCGACGGTAAACATTCTTCTCGAGTTACGTAAAACATTTTTTTTACACGGACAAAAACACTGTCGACGTTACTGACGTTCATAACTTTAGAATCACAAACAGGCGATTTACCGTTCCCATCTCGCCACTTTCCCACTGGCACATCCGAACCGTACCAGCACAGGGCTCACACGCAGCACGGGCGGTTTTTCCACTGGCTATGTGCCGAGCCGAGCCAGAACCAGACTGATTCACCAGCCTCGCGAGACGTCGATCGAAGTCTGGAGCCAAGTCGGGGGCCAAATTAATCGACTCGTTCATTTCTGCATAACGCCGGTCGGCATAAACTCGACACAGCGTCGCCGCGTCACCTACCTGATCATTGCGTGCGATGTTGGTGAGTACACCTGTGAGGACAGTGTCAACCATGTCGTCTACATGCAACTCAACTCGTGCATTGTGTGTGTTCAGTACACCCGAGAACACAACGTGCTCGGGTCACCTACACGGGTGTCTACTAATTTGCCGTGCGCGTGACGTTAGCGGAACGGCTCGGGCCAGCCGAGCATCGGCGGGGAGGTTCGGCACGGCCCGCCACGGCCCGCCACGGCCCGCCACGGCCCGTCACCGCCTGGCACGGCTCGGTTGTGCAGTGGAAAAGAGGCACGTTTGTTATTCGCCGATCGTACAGCGCTCCCCTCTCAAGGCCCAGTAACGGGACTCAACTTGGAAGGAGCCACTGGACGGGTGGTCGGCTTGGGCTTGGGAAGCGAGGTCATGGCTTAAGCAGCCTACATGCCACACGTCACGAGGCGTGTTGTTTTTTTTTGTCTTGTCTTGTACTCCTGCCTTCCCCCTAGAAAATACTGCCAACGAAAAGCACCGATATGTGTACACAAATGTATGGCTGATTACAAAACAGTACACACGGGGGGCTCTTTGTGTTAACCATCAAAAGTCGCGTCACATCAAAGCTTTTCCTGTTCCAAGCACGCTTTGGCCGGTCCCTCAACTCTCTTGCTAGCCCTGAGCCAAGTGTTGGAAATTCAATTTTTTTTCTTCCTTTGGCGGGAACCAGTCTATCCACAGGATAATCACTCTGTCATCTTCCCACCAACTGTTGCCACTCGGAGGGATTGCTGTAACACCGGAGGGTTGAAGATAGTCGAGCCCTGAGGAAGGTTCAAACTCATAACCTTCCACATCAACTCTCCCGGTTAAAGTCACAATATACCGATTGTATATATTTCAAGAAAAATCATTCGGAAGGGGGGACAGGACATGGAAGTCACAACTGCTCCAGGTTGGTAATGCCACAGGCGTCTAAACGTGTTTCCCGTTGTGTGTATGGCGTGACCTAATTCATGCACCATTAACGTGGACAAAACGTTCCTCCGCCTTGTCCGATTTTTGGCGAAATCGCTCCAACGTCTCTTTCCCACCGCCACCACCAACAACGGGGCGGGGGGGGGGGGGGGGGCAAACCACGAGCTCGGCGTTCGACAAGCGCTGCTGGCCATTGCGTCAACTGAGACGCGGAACACGACGGAGCCCCTAGATGTCCATCAGCTCGTCGTCCGTGTCCGACTCGCTCTCGAAGGACGACTCGAGGCTGGAGGTGTCGGGCGGTTCGAGCGCCGGCTGGCTCAGCGTTTCCCGCCGCACGGTGGCCGCCGACTGTGACGACAGGATGGCGCTCTGTGGCAACACGACAAGGTCAAGGTCAAGACGGCATCCTGGCCACGGCCGTCAACGCCACCATGCCTTGCCAAACGCTTCCTACCCTCTGCCAGTTCCCACACAGCTGCTGCACAAAATCCCACATGGCCAGACCAGTTGGTGCCAATCAATCACACTCTGATATTAGCGGCGGGCTGGGAATCCAACTCAGGATATCACGTCGCCGGGATGAAAGTGCTGTGCGCAAACCACTGCACCACCGCTCCACCTAAATATGCACGCGCACACACACGCACACACACGCACACACACGCACACACACGCACACACACACAAAAGACAGATCCCCCGGATAGCCTGAACAGACTATTGGGGCAAGTGCTGTTGGCACCTATGAAGGCCGGCGTGGCACACGAGGGGGTGGGTAGCCAACACCACGCCCGGCCGCCTTTGTTTCCCCGGTGGCGGTGTTTACTACACACCACACCAGGTACTCATTTGAGGCTGAGTCGACCAAGGGGAGGCCCATGACCGCTTCAGATAATCGCTGCTAGTATTGGCCGTGAGCAGGAATCGAACTCGGATGGCCGGGTTCATAGCGCAGCGGCGCTAAACGTGATACTACCGCTCCCCACAAAGACAAATGTGCTTTGAGCGAGCGCCGCTCCCCACAAAGACACGCTCGCACACGCTCGCACACGCTCGCACACGCTCGCACACGCTCGCACACGCTCGCACACGCTCGCACACGCTCGCACACGCTCGCACACGCGCCGCCCCCGCACCTTGAGCCTCTGCTTGGTCTCCTGGGAGACGCTGCACCGTGGAGACAGCATCGTCGGGGTCGGCGGGGTCACCGTGATCTCGGGGGGGTAGCCCCCCGCCGCCACCTCCCCACCTCCCCCGCCGGCGCCCCCCCCGACCCCGTGGGGGCCGAACGAGAAAGCAGCGGCAACGACAGCAGCGCCGTGCGGAATCACGAGCTTGGGCATCCCCGGCGGCGCCCGGGATCGAACCCGTCCTCCGCACCTCTGCTGCTGGTTCTGCTGGTTCTGTTGGTGCTGCTGCTGCTGCGCTTGGGACATGGAGCGAGACTCGCACGAAGCTGACGGGGGTAACGCGGCGTCGCTGCTTCCCGAAGCGGCGGGAGAGGCGCAGCATTCATCCTCGGGCAGATCCGGCACTGCGGGGAAGGGGGAGGGGCGGTTAATGGGCGGAGATGGAGCAGGCCGGGGTGGCATGGACGTACAGGTGTGAGTGATGTGGGGGTTAGAAGTGGACGGGGCGTGCTGCGGTGATGGGAAGGTGGGTAGTAAATACAGGTTGTGAAACTATGTGGGTATGCGCTTTTGTATTTATATGGAGTGCGCTTGTGCGTACGGACATGTGTAGTGACATCGGGGGTGTCACTGTCCGGAAGGGTCGTGCCGTTCGATGTTCCTACATCGTGGACAGCACCGTGTGGGTGACTGTGTAGCACCAGCCCTAGTGGGGCTTGGCGGGCACTGGGATGGTGCGGGCACCACACACAGCGTGTGGTGGGGGTTTTCCCGAGGGGGAGGGGGTGAGTGTGAGCCATGGGGCAGGGTTGCCCCGGGCCATGGCACTCTGGTTGACCCCGTAGAAGTGTCCACACAGGGGGCCCCATGCGGGCGGGGGGGCTAGTGGGTGATCACGTGTCCGGGGAGAGCTCTTGAGAAGGATCGAGAGGGAACGAGAATGTTCAAGAAGGTGGGCGGGGCCTAGGGCGGAGCGGCCCCGACCGGAGAGGGATATAAGGCGGGTCCCTGAGAGAGACCGGGGTCGCTGCATTCTACAAGCTGGAAGCTCAACACCTAGAAGCTGGAAGCTCAACACCTACAAGCTGGAAGCTCAACATCTACAAGCTGGAAGCTCAACGTCTACAAGCTGGAAGCTCTGCATCTACAAGCTGGAAGCTCAACATCTACAAGCTGGAAGCTCAACATCTACAAGCTGGAAGCTCAACATCTACAAGCTGGAAGCTCTGCGTCTACAAGCTGGAAGCTCAACATCTACAAGCTGGAAGCTCAACGTCTACAAGCTGGAAGCTCTGCATCTACAAGCTGGAAGCTCAACATCTACAAGCTGGAAGCTCAACGTCTACAAGCTGGAAGCTCTGCATCTACAAGCTGGAAGCTCTACGTCTACAAGCTGGAAGCTCAACATCTACAAGCTGGAAGCTCTGCATCTACAAGCTGGAAGCTCTACGTCTACAAGCTGGAAGCTCTACACCTACGAGTTGGAAGTGCAACACCTACAAGCTGGAAGCTCAACGTCTACAAGCTGGAAGCTCTTCGTCCTACGAGGAACCACGTGGTCGGAGACCCGAGTTAGGGCACGACCCTTCGTAGCTGTAACTCCTCTGTATAGTGTAGCTAGCTGGGTGGTCACCACCCTAGGTTGTATCTGGTAAAGGGGCAAGTCACCCCTTTGTGTTACGGTGTTACAAATAAATGTGTTGACTCTAAAAGGAACGACGTCTGCGACTCAGTTTGACTCACTACACATGTAAAGTGTACGTGTGAAGCTGTGTGGTTCGTGCACGCGCGTGTGTGTGGAAGTTTTATATACTGGTGTGGGTGGCTGCTGCGGTGCAATGGTTGGCAGCGCACTGGACGCGCGATTCAAAGGTTGCTGGTTCGATGCAACCTCCCGGCGCGGCAGTTAAAACATTGGTGGAGGTTTTGTTAGTTCGCACTGCCCTCCCCCTGCCCCACTGCCTCTGTCCCAGCAGCGTAATCGGGTTTGGCACAGTCCGCCGATCGGTAGCTCGCACGTAACCGAGTAAAGTGGGGGCACTGACGTCTGATCCGAGCGGAAGAGTAGACCAAATTCCCTGCCAAGGAGGCTTCTCAAGCGTCCCCTCCAGAGGAGGCCTCCTTTCGCCAGCAGTGGGCGCGAGCGAGCACTTTCAGGGCTGCGCCTTTTCCGCGTGCGATCCGGTGTTCTTACCTGCAGATCCGGCCATTGCACCTCCATCCTCCTCCCGTACTCCTCCCCCGCCCATCACCGTCGCCACCGTCGCCATCGTCGCCGTCATCGCCTCATCGTCAGATGCCGCCCTGCTCGTCGTGGACGACGGCGAGGTGGGTCCCTCAAGAGGAGGCCGAAGAGGTGGCGCAGGAAGTTCCCCGACCCCTGCGCTGGCGGTGACCGCGTCCCGAAGGTGCGGGCCCTTGGCAGTGAGCAGGAGTGGAGATACGAGGCGCGGATTTTTATTTAGAATCTTATATAGGTCACAGTGTCTGCTGTTACACAATCCGTGCGGCTCACCACCCCCCCCCCACCACCGCCTCTACCTTCCTGCGTCGTTTTTCCCCGCTAATGGAGCAAATCCACTCTTCTATAATTACCGTCGTCGCTTCGGCTGCTCGCTGTTGGCACAATGGGTCAGCTATTGTCCCCATGGGTCAGAGGTCGGCACACGTGACAATGGTCCGAGGTTTAAGAATGGAACAATGTGCCCCGCTTGATGCGCGTAACGTGCCGGTGGGGGAAAAAGAAAACCAGCGTGTGGATATTTGTTTTTCGTTGATTTCATTGGTGAACATGTGCGAATATAAAGATACGTTTAGTAATTGTATATTTTTTTTATTTAAAGCTTTCGTGACTGCAGGGATTCATATTCTTGGTTCTTTCGGTAAAGTCACGTAGAAGGGAAATAATAAAATAACATAATATAAATATATTATTACAGATATGTATATTTGGAATCATCAATTTTTTTTACACATTTGACAGTACAAATTACATACAAAAAATGTATTTCAATGTTTATCAAAGTACTTGTATATTAAGTATCCACTCCTGGACACTTGGTATCCACTCCTGGGTGAAGGCCTCCCCACAACACGGTGTCAAACATCGGGCTCGTTTGACCATACTTCACCACACCGGTTCTTGGTGAAGCGATCACACCGCCACCCAATGTGAGGCCGTGGCCATCGCCGTGGCCATCGCCGTGGCCAGGAATCAAACTCAGGCCACCGCATTTGTAGTGCAGCTCGCAAAACCACTCCACAACAATCGCTCCACAGGCCAATTTCGTAATAATCACCCAGAAATGTCTGTCCGTCCCGTGCGTGACGTCACTCCACATGAGGCCCACCTCCCGCGTGACGTCACTCCACATGAGGCCCACCACTCTCATTAATATTGATGCACACGTGTAAATTTACACTAACGCACAAGAACATGACGCACCCCTCATTAATAATGATGCGTGGATGACGTCACTCCACATGCCGCACCCCTCCCCAACTATTAGCGGGTGACGTCACTCCACATGCCGCACCCCTCCACAATAACCATGAGGGGATGACGTCACTCCACATGGGGCACCCCTCATTAATAATGATGAGTGGATGACGTCACTCCCCATGCCGCACCCCTCCGCAATAACCATGATGGGATGACGTCACTCCACATGCCGCACCCCTCCCCAATAACAATTAGCGGGTGACGTCACTCCACATGGGGCAACTCCCCCCCCACCCCTCATTAATAATCATGAGATGACCAATTTTTCTACTGAATATTTCAGATTTACTGCAATATACACCCATCATTGGACGGGCAAACAAGCTAGTTTCGTATTAATACTCTACACCAAAGTGAATGTGTTCAATCACTGCCGGTTATATATCCCAGTAAAACATTCTAACGGTGCACCCAACGTACACCAACGTTGAGTACAACGTTGCAACGTCGCCTGAGATGTGGTGGTCGACAGAGGGCAGTGTGGAAAAATCCATTGTTGTACCGTACTCTGCGCCCACGTCTATGCTTCCAATGAATGACGAGCGTGGTGAAGTTTAAACCTCATTGCCCTCAAGACTCACATGGCGTGGGGAGGCCTTCATCCAGCAGTGGATCGACAAAACAAAGGCTGTCGTGACATGTGCCAAAAAACAACAACACTCGCTCACTCACGATCCAATTTGCGTAATGACACTCCAGCGAGCCTCGGGGAAGCCACGTGTTCTCGCTCTCTCTCGCTCTCTCTCACACTCCCACACACGCTTTCTCTGTGCCTCTCCCACACTCTCTCTTTTTTTACGATCAGTGGAAACAAGAAGATGCTCGGTGTAGTCGGCACTTTGCTTCGTTCATCATTTCGTAATTTTTTTAATTTAAACTTTGCTTTATGTAAACCCGCACCTCTCGCTCACTCTCTCGCTCACTCTCTCGCTCTCTGACACTCATCACATGCATTCTCCCACACTCTCTCACTCCCCACGTGCACTCTCCCACTCTCTCTCGTTCTCTCTCACACTCCTCACGCACTCTCTCTCTGTGACACTCTCCCACACTCTCTCTCTCTCACTCATCACGTGCACTCTCCCACACTCTCTCTCACACACGCTCTCTCTCACACACACTCTCTCTCACACACACTCTCTATCACACACACTCTCACACTCTCCCACACTCATCACGTGCACTCTCCCACACTCTCTCTCACACACACTCTCTCTCACACACACTCTCTCTCTCACACACACTCTCACACTCTCCCACACTCATCACGTGCACTCTCCCACACTCTCTCTCACACACACTCTCTCTCACACACACTCTCTCTCACACACACTCTCTCTCACACACACTCTCACACTCTCCCACACTCATCACGTGCACTCTCCCACACTCTCTCTCACACACACTCTCTCTCACACACACTCTCTCTCACACACACTCTCTCTCACACACACTCTCACACTCTCCCACACTCATCACGTGCATTCTCCCACACTCTCTCTCACACACACTCTCTCTCACACACACTCTCTCTCACACACACTCTCTCTCACACACACTCTCACACTCTCCCACACTCATCACGTGCATTCTCCCACACTCTCTCACTCCCCACGTGCACTCTCCCACTCTCTCTCGTTCTCTCTCACACTCCTCACGCACTCTCTCTCTGTGACACTCTCCACTCTCTCTCACTCATCACGTGCACTCTCCCACACTCTCTCTCGTTCTCTCTCACACACACTCTCTCTCTCACTCCCTCGTTCACTCTCTCGTTCTCTCTCCCACTCTCCACGTGCACTCTACCACACTCTCTCTCTCACACGTGTTCCCACAGGCACGTGTACTCTTACCCATCCACCCATGTCAAAAACGCACACGTGGAATCACATGTGAATACACACATTACTGTGCGCGTGTAGACACACAGACTCACTCAAAACAAAGATCCCCCGTATAACCTCGACGGACCGATAGGGCAAGTGAAGCGAGCGAGCACCCACTCGAGGGTGGTGACACGCCCGGCCGATTAATTACACACCGCAGAAGGCACTCGTTCAAAATGCCGAGCCGACCTAGCTGATGCCCAAGCCCGGTTCGGATTAATTGTCACGCGTGTTGGTGGCCGTGAGCGAGGAATCGAACTCGAATCTCCGGGATTGTCGCACTACACGCTAATCACTGCGCCACCGCTCCCCCCTGACACACACACATACACACACGTGTATTCCCACTCTCTCTCGCACACACACACTTCATAATTAAAACAAAAATCTGGGTTGGATCGAGTAAATATAAATGTGTCGTTAAACCCGCCACCACCAAAGCCGACGTGTTAAACTGACATACCGGCACACGTGACAATCTGCTGCCTCTCAGATTGTGACTTTTTTTTCTGCCACTTAGTATAATCAATGAGACGTACTCCGTGCACACGTGGGCACATGGCTCGGGTTGGACCCCCCCCTCCTCCTCCTCCTCTCGCCTGTCCCGGATTACAACCCTAACGCAGAAGAAGATCACTAATCCCCCCCCTTTCACACGGATGAAAACAGCTCTCAGTCAGTTATCGTGGAAAGGGTCAGAGACCGCTTCGGTAGCCTGCATGGACTGTCCGTTCAAAGTGCTGTTAGCGAGCACCTATTAATGTGCCCCCCCCCCCCCACTCATGTGAGTGGAGCGGTGGTGGGGAGCGGTGGTGGGGAGCGGTGGTGCAGCGGTTAGCGCACCGCGCTACGAACCCGGCCCACCGGAGTTCGATTTCCGCTGACAACATCAATGAGATTTGAGGTGGCGAAGGTGTGAACCGGTCGGTTCCCGGGCCCTGCCCTAGGTCGACTCGGCCCTAAACGAGTGCGGTAGTACAGTTTGTAAATATGAGTGCGGGATTGGGGAGACAAGTGAGGCTGGTTATCGAGGTGCTGGTCACCTACTGCCACTCGTGTGCCGTCCTGTGCAGCCCGCGAAAAGCACTCGCCCCAATGGTCTATTAAATGTTACACGGGGGTGTGTCTCTGTGGCCAGAAGCACGCACGACCCCTTCCCCCCCCCAATGCTGCTGATGGTGATGATAGTATTGATGGTGGCAGTGATGCTGGCGATGTAGCCAATGCCGATGATACTCTTAGTTTTTTCGGTAAAGTCACGTAGATAAAAAATGAAATTAAAATTAATGAAAGTATTATTACTTGTTGTCAATCTCACCAACATTATCATCACCACCACCAACGTCGTTCCGACCATTATCACCACCATCATTGTTTCTTTTCACAATCATTGTCATCATCGGCATTAATTCTAGATTTGAAGCTTTCGTGACTGCAAGGATTCATACTCTTAGCTGTATCGGTAAAGTCACGTAGGTAAAAAATGTAATTAAAATTAATGAAAGTTATAATACTTTCATTAATTTTAATTTCATTTTTTACCTACGTAATTAAAATTAATTAAAGTAATAATACTTTCATTCATTTGAATTTCATTTTTTTTTACCTACGTGACTTTACCGAAAAAACTAAGAGTATGAATCCGTGCAGTCACGAAAGCGTCAAATCTAGAATTAATGCCGATGATGACAATGATTGTGAAAAGAAACAATGATCGTGGTGATAATGGTCGTAACGACAGTGGTGGTGGTGGTGATGATAATGTTGGTGAGGTTGACAGCGGTGAGTCGATGTTGGCTACGTACGGTCCGACAGAAGTTCAACATACATACATACATGTTGACGATGTGATAACTGTGAAAATAAGGATAACTGTGATAACGATGAGTGACGATGATTGTAACGCTCATAACAGATGATGGTTATTACAAAAGTGATGACGACGGCGTTGATAATTGTGATGATGATGTTGAAGATGGTGGTGATGGGATTCATGCACTGCGGTCGGGATGCATTAGCGCCTGCTAATGCGTGGTTCACGATTATGTAAGGCAATGCATCAATCATCAATATGCCTTTGCTGCTGCTGCTGCTGCTGATGAGCAACTACACGGACTAAATCTCAGCATTAACGCAGAGAGCTCTCAACCCGATCATTAACAGCCCCACTCCACACTCAAGAAGATCACGTGCACCATCACCCTGAAGACAAAGATCTCCCCCTGCTTAGCCTGAACAGACTGTTAGTGGCGGTCGGAATTCAACGTTCACGTTGCAAGGTTCATCGTGCATTGCGCCGACCACTGCACCACCACCGTCATCATCATCATCAGCCATGATCAATCCACTGCTAGACGAACCCCTCCCATATTCATAATCAACGTTTTTGGGTTAGATCGCGTTATTTATAAAT